TGCGGTGAGATAGAGAGTAGCTTTATCAGGCAACACAAGTCCATCTGCAACCTGCGAAAATGCATAGCAGTACACAAAATTCATTTCAGTGAGAAGGAAAAACAAAACAACAAAGAAAACTATGGACTTAAATTTTGAGCAAATACTGGTGGTATCAAAGAAAAGTTTCAACTGATTTCATATAATGTGTTCCAGACACCATTAACGAAGAAACAACAATAATGAGAAAAACAACTCACTAGCCACTTGTTACGCGCATATAGTACAGTGTCCAGCATGTTTTCGTAGAGTAAAAAGTATCCCATCCACTCTGAAATAATTACATCGACTTGGGCAACTGGAAGCTCTATCTCTTCAACCTTCCCCTTAATAACAGTTATAACTGAGAAAATGGATGGAAATGACAGGGCAGACGAAAGGCATCAAATAAGATAAAATATCAAGAAAGATGCCAAATTGAGAACCAAAAAGTATCACATTAATCAGGTTTTATTATGAATCTCACCATCTGAAAATCCATTGAGTTTCACAATCTCTTGCGCCATGTCAGCCATACTGGAGCATTCAATCTGATAATTTGCGGTTGCATGAATCATTATTAGAAAAGTTAAATAGATAGTACAGAGACTAAGAAAACTAAAAATAATTTCATGAACAACTTCAACAAGATAACTCTTTATGTGGGTAACTCCAACTTTTGTATGAAGAATAAGGCAAATTATTTCAATTGTATGATAAATAGGAAGTGGGGAGAGAGAGAGAGAGAGAGTTACGGCATAGACATGTTTTGCTCCAACTTTAGCACAAAACAGCGAGAGGATTCCAGTCCCAGCACCCACATCAAGAACTACCTTATCCCTAAAAAGAAAGCTATTTTTATAGATGACATTTTGGTATGTTTTAGTCCTTACAACATCCTTCAACATTTCCTGCAAAGCCAAAAAAACTTGGATGAGTTAACTGAGAAGCATTATATGCAACACGTATCCCAAAAACCCATCATTCATGGTGGACTTAAAGAACTCAAAAGCATTCCAGAGAAATGAATGGTAAAGGGACAGAGAGGGAGACAGGGACCTACTAATCTCCTTTAAAGATGAGATGATTTCATTTAAAGGTAAATGCTTTTGGTGTTGCACAAAATTATAAACAGAACTCCAGTTCTTCAGAAATTTTAAAAATCACCAAACCAAAGAACAAAACTAAATGGGGTTTGCCAGGTCAGTTGGAAAGAGAAATCCCACAAAAGGCTGCAATGCACTTGACTACTTGATTTGTACGTGTAGCACATCCAGTAGGCAGTCAAACACCCCCCCCCCCAAAAAAAAAAACCCCTCCCCCCTCCAAAAAAAAAGGGAAGCACAAACAAGCTACGCCAGTTGGAATGATCCAGTGGATGCTTTTTTCCTTAGAGGCTTTCTGAAGTTCCTAAGTGCAGAATGTAATTTCCGACTAAATGTTGTTCAAAAAACTACAGATGCAAAGTAAATATATACAACTCTAACATCCAAAAAAGATAGTATTTTGCTATAAAAAGTTAGCATGGCGTAAGTGTGATAACAACTTTACAAGTATTTTGCTATACAAAGTTAGCATGGCGCAAGTGTGGTAACAAGTTTACAAGCCATGAAACAATACCTAACAAAGTAAGTATAAAGTAACATGTAAATGAAAAATGGTTCAGCCGTGTATGCAGCAGAACACATGAAACACTCAACCTGCTCCATCCGGCACATCAAACAAAGAAACCAATGCTTACAGTAATATAAGCAAAGCGTACTTAGGACGTGTATACAATAACAGAAGCTGCACTACTAATAGCAAGGTCAGTTACAATATCCAGACATTAACTCGTCATCTCCACAAACAATACTTACTTCGTGAATCCCTGCAAGCACAGAAAACAACAAAAGAAAGCAGAAAAATTAGTTCTTGGGTGTCTGGAAATCTCAAAAGCAAAGAACAAGAAACATAACGACAATTCTCAACCCAAGAACTCCCTTTTCCAAGAGCTTTTAGAATCAGCAGAAGAAGAAGAAAACACAATTAAACACAATAATCTTCATCAACAAGATCAAAAGCAGAAGAACATGAAACATCGGCAGCCAAAACAAAACGCGTAAAGAATTTGGATCTCCCAAAGAAAAGCCGAGTGTTTTCCATCTTTCAAAGCCCAATTGAAAAAACATTCAATAAGCCAAATTAGTACAATACTCGACACCAAAATTAAACAGCTTCGGTAGCTAAAACGAAATAATTAACACACTAAATACAGTGGTAACTACAGAATTAGTATGTAGCAAAGGGAAGGAGGTGGATACCGAAGTGAGAGTAGGAATCGAAGTAGTAATCGGCGCTAGTTTTGTCGGCGCCGATGACATTGCCGTCATCGGGGTCAGGCTCGAACATAGCGAAATCTTCCTCAATGTTGGAACTTTCGGTGGCTGTTTCTTCCAGGGTTTCGTCGTCCTGGAATCTATCATCATCGTCTTCGGACTCAAACCTGATCTTCGCCGGAGGTCTTTTGTTGGGATTATTGCTATCGGTGCTTGTGGCATTCTGACTCTCATTGGTGCGTCGATGACGATCCATTACTGTGTTAGCGAGTTGTGAGGAGGGTTTTGCAGAGCGGGAGTAGGAGGCTATCTATCGCTAGGGTTTAGCAGACCGTACAATTACGGTGCGATGTATTTGATTATTTATACAACGCTGGTAAAACCCAATAATACGTTTTTTCGAAATAACGCGGCACTGGTCCACCCTCTTGTATCCATGCAATCAAATTACACACGGTTTAAGTTAACTAAACCACACACAGAGGGTGTCTTTTGACAAAGATAAATAAATAAAGGTTATTATCACTTTACCCTCTTAAACTATATTATTACTATCAATTTATCTTATAATATTTTATCTTTTAGGCACTTCACCCTATAGATAATTCAACTCAGCATGTTAATAAATTTTTGACAAAAATACTCTTTTATTTCATAGCATTATTACGTTGTTATTATCACTTTATCCTTTAAAATTATAGTGATATAATTGTTTTACTCTTTAAATATTTTACCCTATCGTTAATCTAAAAAATATCTTCAAAAATGTTTAAATGTATTTACCTTTTTTGTATATAATTAAAAATTAAAAGTTGAAATAGTTATTCTTTCTTTTTTCACTCTAAAATTCCAAAAACATAAAAATAAAAGGATTTTTTCAAATTTTTTTTCACACTTATTAATACTTAGAAGATAAAAGGAGATAGGACAGAAGGGGACAGAAAATTAGATTTTACAAAAAAAAAAAAGGAAAAATTGAATATTACCATATTACTTTAATGTTCTCGGGATTAAGATTGGAATTAGGTAATAAACAAATAATAATAATTTTAAAATAATAAAAATATTGAATTCTTTCTTGTTTGTATTTAAAAAAAAAAAAGAATGGAGGTCTCTCTCTCCCTCCCCTATTTTTCTACTTTTTTTTTCAATATTAATAAGATTGTCAAGAAGAAAGAGATTAATGTTTTGATTTTTTTTTCTTGATACTAAAATGGAGAAGAGTCATTCCAAATTTTTTATTATTTTTATTATACCAAAAAGAGGGTACTATTTTCTAAAGTTTTTACCTTGTTAAGTTGATTTAATGGTAGGATAAATTGCTTAAAAAAGAATTTTATGGGGTAAATTGATAATAAGGTTATAGTTTATGGGGGTAAAGTAATAATAATTTTGAAGGTTAAACATGTCTTATCACTTGAATTAATAAACTCCGTTAAGTTTGACCATTAGTTTTAAGGGTAAATGATTAAAAAATTAATGTTAATGGAAAAATTAATAGTGATGTCAAACGTTAAGGGGGTAAAGTGTTAATAACCCAATAATAAGAAGTTGTGTTAACCAATTTAAGCCTCTCCTTTCTCCTAAATTTATTTTTCATTTATCAAAGAAAATTTTTAAGGTAATCTTTTAGTGTATAATTTTTTTCCACTATCAGGTTTAGATAATATCATATAACATGAGTTTCAATTTGAAATTCAAATAACACGCATGTAGCATAAATTTAAAACTACTAATGTAAGAAATCACTATACTGTTAGTGCATAAAAAATTAATCCAAAATTTTAATTTATTATAGTATTTACATGTTTACAATTACATTTTATTGATTTTGTTGTAATTGTTGTGTTTACGTTTACCTAATCATGTTTTAGATAAACCCTGTGTGAAAAAAAATGAAGTACTTGCTCGAACTGCAAACGAGTCGAGTCGAATCGAGTTTTAGCCTAATCAAATCGTGTATCAATTTAGTTTTATTAAGTTCGAATTCGAGCTTAAAAAATAAAAAATAATTATTTTATTTTTTAAAGATAAATAAAATAATATTTTTTCTTAACAAATAATAAAATATTAAAAATATAAATATAATTTTACTATTAAAATAAAAATTATATATATGCATATATATCGAATCAACTCACGAACTAACGAGTTAAACATTTTTAAACTCGAATTCAATATTTACCAAGTTTTGGCCCGAATGGCTTACGAGCGGCTAAATCCGTTTACAACCCTAATGTTAGCACACAGTGATAGAAAGTACCAGTACAAGGGAACACTACAAGAGCAAAAGAATTACATGCTGTGCCGCCTAATTCAACACGTAAGGATTTGAATCTCGTGTTCCAAACCGTTTAGAAAACAAAAGGATGACAGCAAAAACATCCTGAAGACTCTGACTCCTAACGGGATGACTGACCTCTACAATTGCCAGTGATAATTACGCCGTGCAATGTAAGTATTACTAAAACAAATATATTATAGAGACGAAACCAACAGATACAGACACTAACATAATTTATTATTTTTGCATATTGTTACGCTAATACTTACATTTAATATTTTAGGGCCTATATTTGTATTGCCGGTGTCCACACACCCTATGATGCTTAATCCACTCCCTACCTAAATTTAAGAGTTCACTTGGGTCGTATACAAAGGACGCCAGGGAAAACAAACATTGAATAGTTATTTGCAAGGCTATGCCGGCACTCATATGGAGATTGATTATTGGTCAAAATTTGAAATGTGCAACTACCAGCTGCTTGCTGCTTATTTTACAACACAAGGAAAGGTGTAAAGGTTCCTTTCAGTGATTTGAGACTCAAAAGAATACTGATGCATGGAAGATGATAAGCAGCAGTAACAGCATTACAAATCATCGACTCTCTCCATTTTCAAAAGGAATAGGTGTCCTTTTGATAGGCCAAGCTGCCCCTGCCATAACAGCCTCAATATCTTTAATCTCCCGAGGACACTTGGTCATGTTCACGCACCCACGGGAAGTAACATACTGGAAAGACGACACAACAATAAGTTAGAACTACTAGCGAACATATTCCAGATTCAACAAATTTCTCTTGGTACTTGGAATTGTAAATGTGGAAAACAAAATTTTTCTTTGTTAATGATTTAGCCGAAAGAACCAAGCGAGCTACGTATTTAGAACAGTAGGCTTCCAAGATTAGCATACAAGATCAAATAAGACTAGCAAATTGTTGAACAGATGATATGATGCATGCCAAACGACCAAGACTTCTAGGGGATAAAGCAGAAACATTTGTTAGGTTCAGATATCAAAAGAAAATTTAACAGTAGTAGTACCACATCACTTTCAATTCGAACCCCACCAAAGCCTCTAAATCTGCTAATCTGCTCATGATCGAAAAACCTTGACGTCTTTGAATTCTCCATTGCTGGAACCAAGACAGCATCAATGAAATAGCACCCGGGCTCCACAGTTATCACCTGCAGTAAACTCCTACTTCACAACATGTTTAACTATACAATATCTTCAAGCATGTGAGCTAAAATAATAAAAATAGACTATTGCAGTTAGTATGTCATCACAGTAGTATAAACAAGATACCGAGACATTTTAGTTCAAAGCATTCTTTCTCTGAAAATTAAATTCACAAATTTAAATGTACCTGTCTTCTTTAATTGAAAAATAAAACAACTGCATGAGTGAAGTACATACTTAAAGAGCTGAAATGGAAAATATCAACAGCTAATGCAGTTTCATACCAAATTGTATCATCAAAAAACGTGAGCAACAATGCAAGGCCATCACAAAGGTTAAACAGCAAGTTAACCGAACGGAATTTAGCTCACTACATAAAACATGAACAGATATTCATCTCCTGTACCACCAAGAAGTCTAAACTGTCAAGTTTAAAATGCATCTATAGAAGAGAGAGAGAGAGAGAGAGAGGGAGAGGGGGGGGGGGAGAGAAACGGACCATTCCTTCCAAGAGTTCCCTACTGGTACGCAAAGACCTCAATCCAAGTTCTTTGGGTCTCTCAGCTCCCTACAATCACATCATAAAAGTATGTTTATCAATTATGAGCAACAAAGAATCCCTCCAATGCAAATTAAAGATCAATAAAATATAAGAACAAACAACCTTCAAATAACCTCCAGGGTCATGGGTATCAATTCCAAGGAGGTGACCAAGGCCATGAGGCATGAACATAGCACCCAATCGCTCAGAAATCATGGCATTAATGTCACTAAAACCAAAATTCGCTGTCAAATAGAGAACTCAGATATCCTAAGTCACCTAATTATATTGCAAAAGGTAAAGGGAGCAAGGAATCAAGATAGAAATACCCAATAAGAAGGCCCCCTTTCTTCAACGCCTCTAGGATAATCTTTTCTGCTAATCTGAATGATGGAATTGAACAAGGAAATAGTTGTGCTTATTGACAAGTGAAAGCCAAACTATTGATGCAAGATAAAATGCCCAAAACGTTCTTCATCCCAAAAAAAAGGTGTCAACAGAGATCAATCAAATTATTCATAAACAGCTACTCAAATTTCCCTCAAAGTTTGAAACTACATAACACAGAATATTGAAAGATTTGATTCAGTCAAATAAAGAATTTCCCCATATATTTCAAGGCAAGCATGAACCTACATGTGCAAGATTCAAATCTTTCAAATGCATATTATTAATACAACATTTTAACTGAATCTAGTTGACAGCTACACTAACTGTTGAGTATTATGTTTACAACTGGAATCTCTTATACATTGCCATTTTTGCTGTATGCAAGTTTTTTCTCTTATTTTCCATTCTATTATAGGCTCGGTGATCAGAGAAAGACAAATTTTGTCAATAAACCAACTCAACAAAATTAGAGTTCTTTCCCACTTATGCAGCTTCTCGAGTAATTTCCCAATTATTACAAGAGCTATAACCATGACACAAGCCACACAAGACTCCAAAATTTACATCAAAGGAGTGCACATCAACAATTTACTTTTTCATTTAGACAAGATCTTACTTGTGCATATCAACCCAGCATACTCCAGGCTTCATTGAAGATATAACAGCATTATGAGCATCAAGAACAGCCTGCAAGAGTAACAAAACCACAGATAAACTCTATAAAGCTGAGATGAATGAGTCCCATAACAGTATGCATGCCACAGAAGCACGTGAACCATTATAAACTAGAGGTAAGCGACTTAAGCTCCAAATTTACATCCAGCAAACCTCTTTATTAAACTTGGCTAGTGTTTTGATGCTTAGTGTAGGTCTCCAAAACCAATTCTGAATCCTTAAATGATATTGCTATTTTAGCATGGGAAGGAAGCCTACGTCGAGGAGCTCTAGAATTAGTATGTTGATCCCATGGGTTCTTTTAAGGTAGTGGACTGAGTTATTTGCCGGATGCTTTTAACCAATGATAACTAATTCACTCATGGAAGAGGACAAGGATGAAAAATCTTCAATGGAAAATTTTTACTTGATTTTAGAATTCCAAGCAAATACTAAACAAGATAGATTTATGTGCGACTTAATTAACTCTCATCAAGGAAAAAAATGTTCTACAACCTAAGAATAGGCTAATCACCCAGATAATAGATAATCCCAAATCAATGAAAGAACCAGGACATACAACCCTTCCCGAGAAAAAGAACATGTAAAGAAGTTACAAAAGAAAATCCCTAAGACCCTTTGAATAACTACAGTTTAGAAAGGCAAAACTCACATTGTATATAAGGGACTGATCACGAGTAAATTTTCCATTCACCTGCATGTACAAACACATATCATCAAGAGAAACCTGGTATACTTGGTATACAAAAGAATGTGAATTTTCAGGAAGGAAAGCAATGAAGAACAGAGGAAAGATGAAACCACATACTAGTACCTCTAGAATGTTTTGGTAAAGTACAAACATTCTTGCACTTTGAAATATATCGCGGAATTAGGAAGGATTTCAGAGGAAAGGAAAGGCGACAAACAGCATAAATATACATGAAAAGTATATAGTAGATGAAAAATCAGTGGAGTACGAAAAGCTTGCTTCTGAAAAATACCCAAGGGCTTAAAAATAATATATTTAAGGAGAAGATAGGACAGATTCTTATGCCTCCTGAAGCTCAATATAAAGGTTCAATACATAAATTAGATGCTCATTGACTATCAACATCCCAATCAAGGTTGCTAATTACAACTAATCAAACATAGTCAAGATGGAAATAGACCAGTCTCTTGTCCCATCTGAAGCTTATTAATCACATGAGATGCTCATTAACTAATCAGCATATCAGACCAAAAAGAATACCAACATCTTTAATGCTCATTGGTTATCAAAATCACAAAAAAAAGCTTCAATTCAAACTCATTTTCTTTGTGAGATATTAATCTACATCTATATGCAAGGCTACAAGCTAAAGCAAAAATCCTAAAGATGCAAGATGCAAGAATTATTCAGTAAATCATTGGATACTCACTGGGAAGGAATTAGTTATATCAGAACCATAAAAATGAAATTCAGCTCCCATATCAAGCAGTGCCATATCTCCATCTTGGAGTGTCTGCAACAAAGATGCATAAATGGTAATGCATAACTTGAAATCTTTAAAAGACTTCTCCCACTCTAGTGGAAATTACTAGCATGAAGTCAAGCAAAAACAGGCAGCAATACAAATTTATCAACAAATGGACAGACTAAGAACTAACTTATAGTCCTAGCTAATATATAGGTCAACCTATAGGTATTACCATTATCATACACCAACCATAATAAGAGCTGTAGCATCTTCATTGGGAATCACAAGGAGCAAAAGAGCAACACAAACTACAAATAGAACTCATTATACTATATCAGCATCCATTGAAAAAGGAAAAACAATCTAATACAAGTAGCAAAACATATGTACTAAAATCATGTTTCCAATTCAAAAACCAGAATGAACCCAATTAATACCTCTTCAAAAAAAAGGAAAAAAAAAAACCTCATTTCTTTATCTTAATCCCCGTTTGCACAGATAAAAGTAAATTGAGTAAATCTACCAACATGGAGTTAGAATCACCTAGACTGCAAAGCTGCCTCAGAAACCCGCAAATAAACATGAAACAGCTAAAGTAATCCCCAAGGCACTCAAGCAACAAAATTATGTAGCCAGAGAATTGTTCTTCAAGTTAGACTACAGCTGATTCTCACCTCAGAAACAGCTAGGACACAAAAAACTTGGTACACATACATATACAGATACAATGATAGCTAATATTATCTGATACAGCGATACCTAAGGATATTCTTGCACACATTTCCAGCCAATTTATCCATTGTGTTTAATTAAATGCATTACTTAGTAGACAATCATCTGTCTATCTCCTTTTGCACATTCAAAGAATACTGTTGACAAGGAACAATTCTTGCCCCTGACAACTTGCTTAAGCTATTACAAGTGGAACTAATTTCTTGCAGCCGGTAGAATATTCAAAAGAACATACACAGAAATCTATATTCTACATTTTTAGCTACAACATACAACACTCATATCAAAGGAATGACTAGAGTTAACGAAATGGCTGATTTGCAAGTTACAGGCACAGGGCCATATTTTGTACTTCTTTGATTTCTGTAATAATAGAAGATAGAAGCAAGAAAGAAACCTACCCTGTCATTTGGGGCTGCAGCATGTCCATAGTGGAGAACAGCACTGAAAATGAAGACATAAACGATCAACCAACAATTTTTAGCAATCAAAGAAATATCCATCTTACATACAACTGAACTGTTGAAACTCATTTGCTAGCAAAGACACAACTAGCCCAAATAATGACATCGAAATGGGAAAAATAATGCAACCTTGTCTAGACAAAAGGATCTCAAATATCATTAACAAAAACTTCAAAGACACCATAAAACAAACTAATGAAACAAAATCAAGCCCAATCAATTTCTTTAATATTCAAAAAAATCTTAAGCTGCATAAATTAAAAAGAAATTCTCAACTGATAAACACTAGCATCCAAGTTTACATGAATAATTCTATAATCTTAGTTGAACTCATAGAGTTACATTTAACATAAATGCTACATCATATAAATAAAAATTCCACCCCTTTAATGCTTCCAGTTTGTTTGTCATCTCAATTTTCACTAGAATTACCAGCAGCCATTTGCTTCAGTGCCACTGAGACAATAACTTTTATACTTTTAACTGTTGCTATACCTTTCTAAGATAAAGATTTTGTTATGTAGACTTTGGAAAGTTAATTTTTAAACAACAAGGAATGAGAGGGGCACTAGGAAGAAAAGGAGGAAAGAAGCAAACCTGTTGTCACCTGTAGCACATATGCATGTATATGAACAATGTCTACAGCCACCAAACATGTACGTGTGATGAAGAAACATACTTTCTAACTGATACTCTTTCATGCCCACTTTGGCATTTCTCATGACCTATTGAACAAGAAATATAGTTATGCCATATAGAAAGCTGATGCACATAATGGACTAGACCAGCAATATTTCAGGCAAACAGTGTCTTGAAATCTTAAGTTTATTTTATAGGACAAGGAAACAGAAAGAAGAACATTGAGAATAATCAGAAACAAATATCAAGAACAAAATATTTGGTTTCACGACTTGATCAAACTTCTATACTACATAACACATAATCCTTGGTTCTAGTGTTTCATACATCAGAAAGCAATTGTGGAAGAAATTATAGTAATTCTTTGCAAGTCAATCAAATGAATTACCATTCTTTACTTTGCAGAGCTAGGATTGGGGAAACCCCTAAAATGTGATTGTTGCTACAAAGCGCAAGTGCTTCGTAACTCCAGATGAATGCTTGCTTGTTCTTTTTCATAATAAGTCAGCTAGCTCATGTATCACTTTACATGGAGCACGCATGACAACCAAATCAACTAATTAAGATAGCAATTTTTTCCCTTTTTCTGGATTGCCAAGCAAAGGTGCACATGAGATTGGAGTCTATAACTCCAAGGATCATAAAGGGCCCTTTAAAACATTGCGCAATTTTCCATCTCATATTAAAACTTGGATTTCAAAATCACAGGTTAGGCTACATATGTTGTTTGTAGGCATAAATTATGAGCATTCAAAAGGGGGCACGTTTACTCTTTTATGAAAGATTCTACATGAGAAAGTACTGACCTCCACATGGGCTTCTGAGCTAATATCGTTGGCAAATTGGATAAGCGCAAGCTCCAGGTCTGACTTTAGGACGCGGCATTCAGTCAAAATCGGATGCAAGGTGTTCATATCCATCTCAAATTTCTCAATCCCCTAAAAATACATGTTAAAGACTGTAACAGTTGCCCTTCAAACAGTGTGCAGTTTAAAATTTCATCAATGTCCATGGACCATAACTTCTCTTCTTCTACTATTAAAGTAAATAATCCTAGTTGCTTTTACTGGATCAGTAGTAAGAAATATAAAATGGCTAAAAATGAAAAGATGCTTAACCAGAGAAAACATCATCAACGTAGGAATAATTTGATTGTCAATCATCAAGAATCAACTCCAAAAGTTCAGTTCTATATTTTGAAGAACATGAGATTCTCTATCTAAAGCTTATTCACAAGGAGAATGGGTGGACTACTATCTCTCTTGCTCTTGGTTTCAGGTTATAAAAACATATGAGCTTCAATTTTCATCAGGAAGTGATAATCAGTTCAAGTTTTCTAAGAAAGATTAGTTGCACAGACCTCAAATTCTGCTGGTTTTGAATAGTTGTTGCTATCAGTGTTGAGCCCGTGCAAGAGATATAGCAAGGGCTTTCTTCCTTGTCCTTGGTATTGTTCATGCAACACCTTTGTAATCTCATCAGTATAGTACACCATGCTTACCATGTATCTTTCCTGCAAAAGATGAAATAGTATCAATTAACTCATGCCATCCCATATTAATCCTTTCTGACCTCAAAGCATCAGGGAGCCACTCACCTTGAAGTAGGACAAAGGCTTTATCTCTCCCAACCAAACAGCATAATCAGCAGGTAATCGTGGAACAAATAGAATGGAATTTCCACTTGCTACATCCTTCAAATATTGGAAATTATTTAAGATAAAACAGAGTTAGCAAAGGGTTGAGAATTCTGATTGAAAAATAAAGTTTGCGCAAAGATCTAAATCGTATCTAACAGGTGCTGAAGTTATTGTCGCTGTCTATCCCTTCACTAAAATGGTTATCATGTAGATTGTAGATACCACTCTTGGCCCTCAATTTTTTTTTTTGACACATTCAGTACGCATCCTTAGCTATGCCTTGACACTTAGCTTGCATCAATTTCGTAGACACAAATGTCAGTTAAATCTTGCGTAGCCAAGTGTCTTTAGAAAGAGAGTTCAAAGATATAGAAAATGTGAACTTACAAGAGCTCCATAGAACCCAGGTTCTCGAACTCCAAACAAGTAAGCAAAATAGCTCTCCTGTCTAAAAATCAAGTACACCAATCAATCACTCGCTTACCCACTAATAGTAGGTTATAACAGAATTAATAAGGTACTTGAAGTCTTGAGCACTTCGAGAAGAAAAAAGAAAATTTGAATACAAAATACAACATAAATAATCAGATAAAACGCGAGCAAGATTATAAACCAGTGGCTCCAGACGATATCATATGTCGTCAATGGATACCAGCATTCGATAGCACCAGAAAACGTGTAATTGTAATGAAAACAGCAAACGAAGGGAAAGAAAAATAATCACGCTTACAGCGACTAAGTTTATTATTGCACTTTCGTATACTATCAATACCATGCAATACGAGTAAAGAACAAAGAATGGGAAGCAGATGATCAGTAATCACATACCTGAAGAGTTCGGTGTGATCGGTGCAGTATCTGGTTCGCTCCTCGCCTCCCTAATTGACAATCAAATTCAATAAAATCAATCTTTTATAAGAAGGAAAAACAATAGAAAAAAAAAAAAAAAAAAAAGGACGAGAGAGAGACATAAAGAGGAAATGGAATTTGGGTTTGAATTTACGGTTTGTACCTGGAGAAAGACGAAGCCGTGGTTAGGGCGAGAGGAGATGGAGAGGTGGTCCCGCAGTGAGTTTAAGAGCTTGTCTCTGTTGAGTCTGTGGAGTTCCATTGGAACCTCCGGGGGAGAGAGGGAAGAAGCCATTGCCTTCCTCCTCCTGCCTTTTGCATACGAGATTGAAAACTTTCACGCCTCGAGGCTCTGCAAATTGTGAAGGACAAAAGCTTTTTCTATTCCAATTGTTAGTGCACTATTACTATTAGGAGTTTTGGGACGATGAAAATGAAAATCGGATTCACGTGACGAGTTCCTGCGTCTGTATAGCGCAAAGATCTACTCCTGCTTGGAAAACTCGTACTAGTAATTATGCATTTTTCTATGAACTACTGGTCAGGAATTGAAATAGCTAATAAGTTTCATCGTACTTCTGGCTGTTGAAACAACAAAAGTCTGATTCAGGCTGTTGAAAAAAAAAAATAAGTTTCATCGTACTTGTAATAAATGGCACTTCATGGAGCGCTAATGTGACCCAAAAAAAATAATGTGAGAGGGATGTTTTTCACAAGGAGTTTGATGTGGCTCGAAATAGCACTTGGAATCATCGGTGACATGTTTTCTATGTCAACCCAATGTCACCAATAGTGTTGCGCCAAGTGTCATATTATTATTTACATTTGTGTTAAATCAAGCCAAGTTGAATTATTAGAAAATTAAAGTGTAAATAATAACAAGACACTTGGCGCAATACTATTGATGGCATTGGGTTGACATAGAAAACATGTTACCGAAGATCCCGAGTGTCGAAATAGATACAGAAACTTTTTATGCATAAAATAATGTGACCAACACATGTTGGTGCAAGTAAAGGATTGCATTCTTTAATCATGAGGTTTCGAGTTTAAAATTCATGAAAATAAAAGAGATAACGTGAGAGAAATTCTTTTCACAAGAAGTTCGACACGATTCGAAAAAAGATTAGTTGCAGATCATAAAATAGACGCAGAAACTTGTGAATTATACCCAAAAAAAAAAAAAAAACGGAACGCTAATAATGTGCAACTTAACCATTTTAGTGAAGATCAGGACCCCTGGACTTGTTTAAAATATATATATAATCTGCGGAGTGATTGGAGTCAACTAGCAGCAGAAAAGAAAAGTGCTCGACTTCTCTCAAAACTTTTAATATTCTGGGCCTGTCTCTGTATACTAGGCCGGGCTTTACTTCGTGGGTCGACTCTCTTCTGAACCTGAAGTATTTGCTCTTGTTCTCACACCTGTTCCACATGATTACTTTTTTTCTGGACTTAAATAATTGGGCCAATCGAATATCCCCTGGTAAGAGGTCCGAGGCTGATCTTACAAGCGTTATCCGGTTGTAGATGATTCGCTCTTCAACAGGCCCAGAAATATGCATGAACTCAATTGATTCACAATCAAAAGTGAAAACGTGGAACTTAAGAGGAAGTGAGTTTTTCTCGGATCTAATTTAACTTTTAGAAAAAAAAAAAAATAGAGGAATGAAATGAAGGTCTATCAAGCTGTTAGATGCTTGATTTGACTGGTCAGCAGTTGCGGCTTCTCCTTTTCCTTTTTTTTTTTTTAAAAAAAAAAATTTTCCTGAAACTAGGTGCTGCGAGTTTAGACTATTACAGTCTCATGATTCGTGGAAGATTGCATGGAAGTAAGTAATTAAGGGTCTGGGCTCCGACATGATGATTTGACAAGGACAAATATCTACATCAACCAAGCATGTGTTTTAATTTTCGAGGTAAATTGAGCCATTAATAATTGATATGAACAACTAATTACGACTATAATAAAGAAACAGGTTGATGATTTCCAAGGCAACCCTTTTTGGTTGACTCTTGTCCCCTATGCGTGCGTCGTTGGACGAAAGCTGGCACAGTGGCTCGTACTAATCTATAGTTTCGGTAGTAAGTTCTGTAGTAGCTTTGGAGTTTAGACAGTGTAGATGGGGCTGGCTATTCATGCTAAAGCATTAAAGTGTTTTGTTTTGCTTTTTAACTTCTTCGTCATACTAGAGCAAATGAAAAAAAAAAAAAATTTTCTTTTATCTAGCCACTAAGTTTCGAACTAGGGATGGCAACGGGGCGGGGTTGGGGCGGGGGACCCCTCTCCCGTCCCCCGCCCCGTTGCCTATTAGTTCCCCCCATCCCCCGCCCTGTCCCCCACCTCCCGCTCCCCCCGTCTCGCCCCGCCTTGCCCCGCTTCTCCCGCGGGGTTAATAAAATTTTATTATAATTAAATTTTAATAAATAATCAAGTACTAAAATATCAACACATCACCAAATTATTATTCATTATAATTTTACAATTGAAACTCGTAAAAACAATCAAACAGAAGTTATTTGAATACAATCCAATATGATGAAATAAGTATAACTAAAATAGTCAAATTTTCACTTTTAGTACAAATGCAATCACTAATTCATCATTGTGTTTGTGTTTTTTTTTTAGAAAAAAGTGTTATTCTATTAAGTGTAATTAGAAAATTAGTATAAATGTATTAGTAAATTTAGTATAACTAATTAATAAATTCTATTAGTAGACATGTATAATTATTCATATAATTGATAATATCAATTATATTACATAAACTAATATACATTATATAATACATCTAACTAATAATATCATTATCATAAGTTTATAACTAATTAACTTACATATAATATATAGTCATTTATATATATATATTTTTTTTTATTTTTTTTTTGCGGGTGGCGGCACGGGGGATGGGGCGGGGGAGTATACCCCCGCCCCCCGCCCCGTTTCTAAGCAGGGGGAAAAAATTCCCCCCCGCCCCCGCCCCACCCCCCGCCCCGTGAGCCCCCCGCGGGCACCCGCCCCCATTGCCATCCCTATTTCGAACTGCTAAAGTAAGTGCTTGTTTGCTTGATAAGAAAGACTGGAGTTTGAAATTTGAGTTCTGAATTTTGAAAATTAAGTATTGAAAATATTAAGTTATCGAATTGATTAAATTATATCTGTTTGACAATTAACTAAATATAATACTAAATTGGAATATCATACAAATATTATGTTTTTATTTTTAAAAAAAATTGTCTTCATTTGTGTATTGTTTAAACGAGCATATTTATGTGTGAGAGAGAGTATATTCTCACGTGCGTATGTAAACAGAAAGAGAATAATGTGGCGTTTGGTAAAAGGGTTTCGAAACGGAGAATTGAAATAAACCTCATGATTCATGTTTGGTTCACTATTATCGGAATTGAAATTTTAGAATGATTTCTAAAAATTTATCATTCCACCATTTCTTAGTAAGTTGGTGGATTTTGTCCAAAACTCAAGTGCGATTCCCAAAGCTTACGTGGAATCTTTCCGATCACAATTCCGTGACCACAAGTTGTATTCTTCTGTTTTCATTTATCCATTCTTTTTAAACTGGTAAGTATGGAGTGGGTGAGGATAGAAGCGGCGTCGAAGACTTCAAAATTTTGCATGAAATGTTTACGGTATAATTCTTTTTCAATAACGTGCAATTATATAACCAAATTTTATAAATTTCACACATGATTTGAAAAATGATGAATAAAATATAATCTGAACATTATATATATTTACCAATTCTTGACTATCAACAACTTTCAGGAATTCCTGCAACAGCAACCATTCCTGCCCTCCTCCCCTGGCAGTGAGATGATGAGCCTGTGGATTCCATTAGCCTGTGGATTCTCACTCTTCACCGCTACCACAAATACCTTCTATTCTCCTCCACGGAGAAGGCAACTATCACTACTCTCGCCTTCTTGAGTACCCTCAGTCTCTTGCTGCTGACTTAGGCACTGGAACAATGTTGGGGATAGTGCCGCTCCGTTACCTTGTGTTGTATAGCCGACGTAACCCAAACCTCATTTGCATGGTGCTTGAAGGCGAAAAGAACAACCCATTCAATTCCCTGAATTATTCTTACAGGTTGATGTTAAACTAAAGCCTGATGGGGTTCACAAAACGTGTTCGTACGAGCATCTTGAACCTTACTAATAATTAGTTTTGCAGATCCACATTAAATATACATGCAAATATGGATATGGTGGATACGGAAGAAGATCAAAGAGGAAAACAAAGTGGTCGTCAAGCATGCAGAAATCTATCGGGGAAGAGGGCCACAAAATAAATATTATTAATATTATCCTATCTATTGTTCGCGGATACAGTACTGTGGTGATCTTGATTACTGGCACTGAATCTTCCGAGAAGATTGCCGCCATCTTATAAACTATTCGAGGAAGATGCGAAGAAATTCCCCAACTATATTCCCATTTTCCATTGTCGTGTCCAAATTCGAGTGTCTAAATTCCTTTGGGCGATTAGGTGGGTTCAGTTCGTAATCCCCTTTCCTAATTTCTTCCTCGATCGACATCTATTTGACACATATGAATTCAGCAATTAATGAAGTATCTCGTAACATATTTATGACTTTAGAGGTATATAGGATAAATAACACTTATAAAACTTCAAGATAATATGACATTAGTGTCAGCAGCTGTTTATTGTCTGCCGTAAGCAAAGATTTGTGTTAGTTAAGGTTAAGACCAAGTCCAGTTGGGATTCTCCGTGTCACTGCTCGGTGTTAAATCTAGTGTCAATCCCACTTATCACGTGATGGTAGAAGAAATTTAAATAAATAGCACATGAGAAATTAAATAAACAGGACACTTGACATAAATATAGAAGTGGCAATGAGGATCCCATGTAGACTAAGTCGCGTCAAAATTCCAAAGGGTGATTACTAATTCAAGTGCAAATGAAGAAAAAATTAAAAATGATCACCATGTGTAATCACTACTGATTACCTTTCCAAACCGTTAATGACAAATGACGACTAGAGAGGCAAATGTCAACGGCAAGCTTTAGGTTTATTCATCTATTATCAAAATATTTATGCAACCAAAAATGTGTTGCATATTATTTTCAGCAACGTGTTGTATAGTATTTCAAAAGAATTTTCTTTGCATATTACTAATTTGTTTAGACCATGAAACCGAAAATTTTAGATTAGTGATCGATCAAAAGAAAAAAAAAGAAGATGGAGTTATTCCCCGAATGACGAAAATGGTCTAGCAAATACTCTGCAAATTTTGCAGGACAAATGACTAAACAAAGCAAAATTGCCCTGCAAAATCCCCGAATGACGAAAATGGTCTAGCAAATACTCTGCAGATTTTGCAGGACAAATGACTAAACAAAGCAAAAATTGCCCTGCAGGCAAATTTTGCAGGACAAATACTTTGCAAAAATGGAGTTATTTATTCATATCTATTGAAGGAAGAAAAGCTTGTTGTGCCTGCACGAATATTTCTTCTTGGTAATTAATACAAATGCTGATTGTACTGTAGCCCTAATGACCCCCTCTCCGGAGACAAATGCATAATTAACAGCAAGTGCGTGAAGAATCTCCGAACAACTCTTCCGTGGCCTGCTGGATTTTGTACTAAAATTGAAGCACTTTTGGGCACTGTTTCTTTGCACTCTGTTTGCACAACATCGGATAATCCGTCTTGTCTTTTACTACATATTCAGAGACAGGGTGAGTTGTTAAAAGTGATCTTGTCTTTTACTACAAAATCACAGACAGGGTGACTTGTTAAAAGTTAAAACTAATCTTGTCTTTTATGCTGCGTAGCTAAGATACAATTACGATTTGATTTGCTGAGGGATTTTGTTGTTGAAGTGCTTAATTACATACCAGGCAGCTAGTTTCATTTCTGCATCTCAACTAGTTCAGTTCAGTAAATTTCTCAATTGGCTGGTACATCCCACAATACACAATTTACCAAGAAAAAACCAGCATCGTATAATTTTGGTGATGCCTTTCCAACTCTTCATGGTTTTGGTAGCCTCGCATGAGTGGTACGTAATATATACATTCATGTAATTGTAGACAGACACTAAACATGAAACTAGCTACTCAATCAGGAATGGATGCATAACGTTCTTTTTTCATCAATGATAAGCTAAGCTGAAACCAAATTAATTACCACAGTCCTTAATTATTTGAACGAGTAATCATGAAAAGGCTCAAGAACAGAAATGAGATTCTTCAAGTCAATAGTCAGGACGACTAAACCCCAATACCCCTTGTCCAGAAACATATTCCCTGGCCCGCCCGCCCACCGGTTGCTTTCTTCTCTATCGATCGATCTGTCTACAGCTATACATGCATGCGTAGGATTGTAAATATTCGGACTATATTTGATTGACTTCATTTTCTGCAGTCCCATCAAGTCCTGAGGATTTTAGTGACGCCAGTTGGGGATTCCGAAGTTGAGATTCGCAAAGAAATTCTTTCGCTTGAAGTTCAGAATAAACCCTACCAAGATTAAGAGAAGAGAACTCGAGAGGAAGCAGACGTAGGGTAACATATGTCCTACAAAAATGTATAGGAGTAGTATTAAGCTAATATATCAAGGACAATGACTGTTGCTTAAACTGAACCTGGAAACCTGAAAGAAGCCTCTTAGCAGACTAGCAGTCATCATCAATCATACTCTTCTCTCATTCTTCGTTTCACTTTACACATTTCAACCAACCAAAGCAAATCTTTGAATTCCAGCAGGCGGATTTCGGTGACCTCATGCCCTTAGAGTTTACAACCATGAACAACATTAGTACATGCACTTTCCTTGTCATCCTCATCCAAGCTCTTTATCTTTTCTATCCGTTTTTATTAGTCCCTGAACAATTACAGCGACAAAGTGGTAGTAGAAAATAACTTAAAATTATGTAACGTAGGAATACATGTATAATTAACGTGCATGCGTCTACATATTTACCTGCGAAGATAGGACCAAGTTCATGTTTAGTCAAAGTAGGCTATTCATTCTTCATGGAGACAAATAAGAATGACCATAACGCTTAAAGAGCGAGGAGGGGAGCATGCAATAGTGGTAATCTGCCTACTACTATAGATAGTGCAGACATTTGCCTAAATGAAAGAGATTTAGCAGTTGATGAAGATTATATACCGATAATTATCAATGATTAGGAGTTATAAGAACCTTAATAACCATGATTGCAATCCTTAAGAACTTCCAAGTTATGCATTCTGTTGATTGAAACATGGGAGGTGGGGCCATCATATCTTCCTGCAGCTTCTATTTTGTCCAGTTTCTGTATGCAAATCAGCATCTTAATGATCTTTATGTAAGTATCTCTGTCAGGTCAGCAAGACTTAACTACTCCTAGATCTTCTCAACTAGCATTTGCAGGACTAACGTGCAACGTTCAACATTTGATAACAGAGGTTTTACATTTAATCTGGACGAGCTCAAAGGCAAAAATAGCGAGAATTTTAAGCCTCTTATGCTCCGTGTTAGGTTCACACCTATGGCATTTATTACGCTTAAAACAACTATTGCCTGCTCCACTGTTAAGTTAAACAAGACCATTGTAAAATAATGGCTAATAGAGAAAATTTAATTTATATGCCCTGCAATGTTAACCGCCAGTTTATACTATAATTTAAAGATGTGGTAATAAAGAAGGTAATTTGTAAACTTATTGTCAACTACACCTGTGTGCAGCAGCTCTCTGAAGATCAAAAAAATAAAAGATAAACAACCACCCCATTCAACCACCGTATTTGCTTTGGATCATGTGGAGATTGAGATACAAAAAGGTTTGAAAAGATGACAGAAGCTAACAGTTGTCACCAGTGATTAAAAAGATATATGTGAAAATCTTGGTTACTTTAGAGAATCAATGATTGGTTCTTTTGCTTTTTTTGGGAGATTGTATCATCTCTTGCATTTATGTTGAGGGCCCCTTTTGAGTCCAAAATTCCTATATATAATGGGCATTTCTCAGGTTAGGATTCATAGTTCATAAAACAACTAGTCTCTCTCCTCTTATCTCTCTTTCTATAACAGTTTCCTGATCAAGAAGGTATTGGAAGTTGCAACTAAAACTTACTAATGGGTGTAGAGTTTGAGCAACAGCCTTCTGTAGAATTATCGAAGGTCGCAGTCTCGGATACTCACGGAGAAGATTCACCATACTTTGCAGGATGGAAAGCATATGATGAAGATCCATACGATGAATCCCGTAATCCATCCGGAGTCATACAGATGGGATTGGCAGAAAATCAAGTAAGGTTCACCACCATCTATTAGGCAAAAGAAAGAGCTACCAAGACTCGAGTCCAAAATTAAGGTCTCTCGGTTACTGTATACTAACCTTGCTTGTTTATGTCTTGTGTACAGGTTTCATTTGATTTGCTGGAAGAATACTTGGAAAAGCATTCTGAAGCAGCTAGTTTTGGAAATAAAATTTCTAGCTTCAGAGAAAATGCACTACTTCAGGATTATCATGGTCTACAATCCTTTAGAAAGGTACCATGCGTAGGGCTTTTGAGTTGGAGTATATCTTTCAGTAGAAAATGCACCTGCATGTGAGCATGAATATATCCCCTAACATCTTCTGCACATATTAACAGGCAATGGCAAGCTTCATGGAACAAATAAGAGGAGGAAGAGCAAAATTCGATCCTGACAGAGTTGTCATCACCGCAGGTGCTACAGCAGCTAATGAACTTGTGACTTTTATCTTGGCCAACCCGGGGGATGCTTTATTAGTTCCAACTCCCTACTATCCAGGGTATGCGTCAACTATATATTTCAAGCTTCAGTGATTTTCATGTTTAAGTATGTATCTGCACATTTTCAATAAATTTATATTAATAACAAGAAAGTTCCATCCATCCTTACAGATTTGACAGAGACTTGAGATGGAGAACTGGAGTCAATATTGTACCAGTGCACTGTGACAGCTCGAACAATTTTCAGATTACCATTCAAGCCTTAGAAGCAGCATATGCTGATGCAGTATCCAAGAACATCAAAGTTAGAGGGGTGCTAATCACAAATCCTTCAAATCCATTGGGTGCAACAATTCAACGATCTGTCCTCGAAGACATTCTTGATTTCGTGATAAGCAAAAATATCCATCTCGTCTCAGACGAAATCTATTCAGGATCCGCGTTCTTTTCTGGTGAATTCGTTAGCATTGCTGAAGTTCTTGAAGCAAGAAACTACCAAGACTCCGAAAGAGTTCATATTGTTTATAGTCTATCCAAGGACTTGGGGCTTCCAGGTTTTAGAGTTGGGACAATTTATTCCTACAATGACAAAGTTGTTACGACAGCAAGAAGAATGTCAAGCTTCACCTTGATTTCTTCGCAAACACAGCAGCTGTTGGCTTCTATGCTGTCCGACAAGGACTTCACCGAAAAATACATACGGATTAATCGCGAGAGGTTGAAAAATAGGTACCACATGATAATTGATGGGTTGAGAAATACCGGCATCGAGTGCCTAGAAGGAAATGCTGGATTATTTTGCTGGATGAATTTAAGTCCACTGTTGAAGGAACGCAAAAAGGAAAGCGAATTAGCCCTTTGGAAATCAATATTGTATGAAGTGAAGTTAAATATATCTCCAGGATCTTCTTGCCATTGTTCAGAGCCAGGATGGTTCCGGGTTTGCTTTGCCAACATGACCGAGCGGACACTAGAAATTGCACTCCGGAGAATACATGATTTCATGGAAATTAAGAAGGAAAATGACGTCCAGCAGCAATAACTCCTTGTAGTAGTTTCATCATACATATTCTTTTTTTTTTTGGGGTCTTGAAATTCTTTGGATCCCAGAACCAAATCCAAGATTGGTTTTGTGTCCCCCGCCTATAGATCAAGTTTGACAGAGACCAAGAATGTCGTTTAAAGCTTTGCCATATATATTGAGCTGAACTTCTTTCTTGGAGTACCGGTTCTATACTCTATAGTTGGGGAACGGACGATGGGTAGAAATAGTAGAATAATTTGAAGGTCATTGATCACTAGGCCGTTAAGTTTATTAATGTACAAGTGTTAATAAATGGCATAGTCCATTTTCACGTTGATTTGTTGTCTAAGAAGATCAATAATTTTATTGCCAGTTTGAACTAAATCACCTTGCTTCAACTTGTAATTGAGAAAAAGGGAAAAAAAAAAAAGAAAAGAAAAAGATTTTGTTGAGCTGCATGCATCTCAGCATTGAATATGATCAATTGTCAATGCCGTGTCTGCGTTCTACCAAACGCTTTGAATTAATGTTGGTTCCACCAAACACGCACCTTGCTTTTATATTGAACGTCAAAATGCATGCGTTCAGAATACGTGGCAGTAAAATGGAGCTTTAATTGGATTGTGTACTGAGCGACAGCGTTTTAGTTTTTCAACTGGCAAAAAATAAACAAAATCGAGCTTTGGGAAAAATGCCGTAAACGACTTCTGGGAGTACTCTAAAAGTAACCCCTTCGCTAAGATTGTGTTTGGATTGTATTTTTTATGAATTTTTCGCTGAAAAATTACTGTAGCGATTTGATGTATGTGAAGTAAAAAGGTGATAGAAAAATGTGTTCACGGAAAACAATGGTGAAAAATGGCTATCCAAACAAGATCTAAGATCTTTGGGAAGTTAATTAACATATTTAAACAGCAATTACGGTTCCATCCATGCATTGCTACGTAAGCCATGGAATAAAGATCCTGTAGATTAATTTGATTTTTAAAGAATATTAGTGGACCCCCCCCCCCCCCCCCAAAAAAAAAGGAGAGGACAGAATTGTTGGCATTCAGCCATCTTCAGGATAGGATTTTCTTCTTCTTAATTCTTGGTTGCTGTTTTGTACGTTTCATTGTAGTATCTCAACTGATGCCACCAAGCGGCCGTTTCTTTTTTGGGGGTTGCTTGTCTTCTGTAGATATTATTGTGAAGTGTATTCACTGAAACTGTTAATTTAGTGCCATCAAAATTTTGTGGTGGAAGTCTATGGTCTTCGCACGCACGTACCAATCATGCTGGTTCAGGTCATGATGACTCCTGAGAGGAGAGGCAGAGGCTCCTTCCTGTGCAATGCATTGCTTTCTAGGCATCGACGTCGCCGTGATCCTCGCTGCCATGGATGCATGATGGAGCAGATCGATCTATGGGCCATCAGTCACAAAATAGTTCAGTGTCGCAATCTTATGCTGTTAGTGTTCGTAGTAAAATAATTGCTGCATGGAGCATGAAGTTGTATCCTCCACTAATCCGTCAACAGCCTCTATCAATCAGAATTTGGTGGCAAATGTTTTTGTTTTTGGTGGGTCGATCGTTGACCATTTCAGGACATAAACCGTCACTTATATATATATGTGGCCTTGCGTTAAGAAATTTGTAAAATGGTGCGACAGTTCCATCATGGAGTGAACTAGCTCCGCACAAGTGCTTGGAAGATCAATCTATATCTATATGTATTCAAGAAGAAGGGACTTTTAGCAGAAATCTTCTCATTAGCTTCTAAACTTCTCATTATTTTTCCTAAATTTTTTTATTTATTTTAATACATAAAAAGTAGTGGGTTATAACCCACCTTTTCACCAATCAAATTTAAATTTAAAATATATCAACTATCTTTTAACTCATCCTACAACCACTCCTACAAATCCTCTAATCATCATCCCACGTTTCCCCCCACGTTTGCACTTATCAAAATTTTGTTAACACAGTTTTGACAGTAGCTCGATTCATATTGTGGGATAAATTTGCTAATGATGATGATAAACGGTTATATCAGTTAGCTACAAAAAATAATATTTTACTAGCATGTGGTATTTGTATACGAAATTTCAGAAATAAATCAATTGCTTTTAGTTATATTCTATATATTTTGAATACCTTTTGAGCGAGCATAACCATACTATGCAGGTCCATCACTGTGTACAATTAGAGCTAGTAAATTGTATATTGATCACAATTTAAATTTTGCTCGATACCTGCGCAGTTGGTAAGTTCCTCATTAACACTATATCAAACTATTAATATTGTTTCGTACTCTTATTGACATTTATTTCAAAAAAATTGCAGATTTGAAAATAATACATGTGCCCGCAAGTTAGTTACGTGGTTAAAATCAAGCAATTTCACAACACTACAAGCACTGTTCATAGCAAATTCAAAGAGAATATGGATATCTGAATATACAATCATGCATACGGTAAGCTTACTCAATTTTAATTAATTACTTAATGATTTTTTAAATTTATAATTATAACCTATATATTTTTTCATTCTTATTAGGTTAAATATTTTAGAATACTTGCTTACATTCAGAGCATTAACATAGAAAATATGTTTTACGAGTTATGCAAAAATTGTGGACAACTATGTGAAGGTCATTTTTCAAATACCGTGTGTATGCATTGTAATGACGCGATTGACACTGTTATTAGGTAATTAACTTCATGTATATTTAGTTTCAATATATTTTTCTGTATTGCATATAATATTTTATTTGTCAAACAGTTACAATGTTAACATACAAATCAGAGATTCCAGCGGTAACATGCATCTTAATCTACAAGACAGACATGCGCGATTTGTATTTGGTTGTGATGCTTCTTATCTCAGAAAATTACAAAGGAAAATAGAATTTCTTAATATATATTTATTTTTATAGTACTATTTATAAACTATATAAAAAAATACACTAATTTCTTACGTTTTTAATTATCAGGAAAATGGTGATAAGTTGTTCAGCCAACGAATTAATTCATGCAAAGATCGTGCATTTTTATTTATAGTACGCACTCCACAAAATTCAACAGAGTTAATTAAATCATCAAATTTTGGCTTTCGTACTAAAAGTGGATTGGTGTGAAGAGTGTTCGTACTTTCAAGTGAGATTATCAACTCGAATGTTTAGTATTTGTAAGTATTTCATTTTAACAACATTCAATTACATTTATTTGTAGAAATATATCATTCCCTTTTTTAATATAAATTTTTATTTTTTTTCATGATCTATCTTTCGAAAAAAGACAGTTCTTGAATGATATACACATTATATTATATTTCAAACTATTGTTAAACAGATATTACATTTTAATTTTGTTGGTTCAATTTTTTCGCTTTTATTTGTTCACCATTTTTATTTTTATTTTTTTCAATAATGTCAGTACCGTGCGTAGCACGGGTATTCACACTAGTTAACTGACTAATAACGATAAAATTATCAGTCCTCACTTTATTATTATTATTTTTGGAAAGTAACCCAATTTGAATCTAAAATCTCTTATTTACATCACTTGCATAAAAGTTCAACATTTGGGCTTGAATGACCAAATTTATTGGACTTGAACTTGATCCTCAAATTTTGGTAACTTATGGACCAATGTTGGTCCATTTTAGTGTATTTTTTTTTATGGGAATTTTCTTTAACCAAAAAATTATAAAATAAAAATAAAAAGTACTTTTTTTGTCATTTTTTGGTTGAGGTGTGCTAATCTCATTCAATCCAAAATATAAATAAAAAAAAAAAAGGATGACACAATTGTGAGATGCATATCAGTCGGGCGACGAGCCATCTTCTGGTTACTTGGTTAATTTGTACGTTATGTGGTATCTCAACTGAAGCCAACAAGCGGTCACTTCAGTTCTTTAGCTTAATCATGTTGCCTGTCACGCCCAAAAATTTTAATGCATAATCAACGAGGTCAGTTAAGCGGAAGTGATTTCTATTTAATTTCCCGATTTCGTTTCTATTAATATCAAAACAAATGGTTTAAATAAAGTCCTTACTCCTTCGCTAGTTTGAAGGTAAAATGGCAAAACTCTAACCTTTCGACATTTCAGCCTATAATATTATGACCTTGTCATGATCCAAAAACCAAAAAAAAGGTCACTTGAATTATAAGAAAGACGTGTATGTTATTTTACTCCAAATGGCACCCCACACTTCAAGAAAAATGAAGAAAATCCCAAATGTTGAAGGATCAATCTTATGTTTTATCCCCAAGAACCACCCAAACAAATATATATATATTTATATATATATATGGTAGCAAATGTTATGGTGGCTTGTTGACCATTTCAGAACGTAAACTATCTTGTGAGTCATGTACAAGGTTGCTGCATGCGTTTCAATTTCCTTCCTTTCTAGGGGAAGAGGAAGGAAGAATGACAGTTTTTTTTTTTTAGCTCTTTCGTTGATCAACTTTGGCACCGGAATCGCTAGATATTTAAGGTGCTGCATATGATTTTCATCTGTTTCTCACTTTCTCGGAAACTGAATTATGGCTGTTATATTACTAACTCTTTTCAAAATCCATGAGAAATCCATAAGAAATGCACGAGACCGGTGTTAAAATTATGAATAACATGTCTCATCAAAACATAGCTTTCGCATGTAAACTGAGAGATCATCGAGTTTATGCCTATTCCAACAATGCGAGAAGTTGAATTCGGTTAATGACAACCGAGGATTTTGAAGAGATTATTGGAGATTGAAACCCGAGCGCATCAATTATCTAGCATAAATAAATGTACATTACTTCTCATTTACACTAAATTCAAACAACTTTCATTCTATGTCGCTATAAAATAATGTAAATTTTGTTCCACAATACGAATAGCTACTTTATTCGTGCTTATAAATTTTGTACGTCAAGTTCATATATAGTTTAGAGATGAGATTGTCGGTCGCATAAATCACGGTTCCAAACCGGTCATTTTAATATAATTGTGTCACATAATTAGGGGTAAATAGATTTGCGTGATTACGACCAGATGTTGAAGGTACAAGTATGTATGTGATTGTTAAAACGTGTTAGTACCATATTTATGCGATTCGTGTGACCACAACTTTAAGCGACACAGGGTTTGATCCCCCTATTCCAACACCGCCAGAAACTAAATTGAGTAAATTCCATTAAAATAAGCAACAATTTTAGAGGGTCTGTTGGGGACTGAACCACGAGCGCTTAGAGATAAATGAATGCCAAAGGAATTCTTAGGGCGGGGTATG